AAAGGTTTCAATGGACTTAACTGCTAGCTGTAAAACGGATAGAAAATTTATTTGACCCGTAAAGCGTGAAAATTGACAAATTATCAGTAAATATCATTCATAAGATATTATCCCTCACCTCAACCATGAATTGGCCAGAACTTTAACCATTAATAATAAGTATAGGAAATCGTATGAACGCGAGTGCATTTCGTGATTTATGGGCACGAGTGATGTTTTGAAAGTTCTCAAAATTGCACGAGCCGTAGGCGAGTGCAATTTGAGAACTTTCAAAACATCACGAGTGACCATAAATCACGAAATGCACGAGCAGGTTCATAAGATTTTTTATTTATTATATTCTCGATAAAATTACTCCATCACGCTACTCTAGATCTTCCCCGGTGTTTCCATGGCAACTTCTCCGTATTGCACTCTATAACCTCTATTGCACTCTATAACCTATTTATGCATTCATCATTGACCAATCAGAAACGCGATATTTTGTTGAGTATATAATAAAAGCCGTTACCCCTCTGAGACCCTGAGCTTCGTGATCCACATCCGAAGTTTATTCGCGGCGATAAAAAAAAGTAATCATTTTTATAATATGTTCTAACCAAGAGGAAAATTTCCCTTATTCTGAGTAAACATAATATAACGTCTCTGGAGGGTTCTTGAAAACCTCTGACACCATGGATAATTGTTTATGAGAGGGTCTCTCAAAAAGGGGCAAATACAGCAGAAGAAATGGAGATAGTGACTTAACAAATCTGTTCTCGCCCTCGGGCTGACAAAGCCCACCGAAGTACATCAGATGTATTTAATCCACTAAGCGGTGTCTACACCAAATTTTCCCAAGAGGACATCGAGATTAAAAATGTTGTGTTTTGTGTAAACTTACATTTGGATTTCTTTAAAAATACTTCGCTTGTTCGGGTTTTTTCTCTAATTCTGCCACCTTCTATGACCTGATGGGAAAGATGTTAAAAATATAGTTCTCTAAAAGACCCAAAAAGGCGGTTGGAATTCTTAAAGTATCAAACTTAACAGGACAGAAAACTCACGCAAGCACCTTCATGTGAGTAAGCTCCCCTTTAATCTGGTAGTCGTGAGAAGTCTTATTTTTCTAAATGTTGTTCCAAACGTAGGATTGAAACGTAGATGGCTGGAGGCAGTTTTCTGAGACAACTACCGACTGTATTTCTGCCTCGCAAACAAACCTTTGTAAATATCAAATCTTTAGAAAGTGATCTCACCAGTATTTTAAATCACTTTCTTTATGAAATTTCAAAGCGTTAATTGGTTATTGCTCTTGACTAAAAAGATAAAGGACACAATTTTTTTGCAATCAGGAAGTTTACTAAGTTTTCTTGCACCTTGACAGCGCTATTTCAGGGATAAATATAAGTTATTTTGTTATATAAAGTATACAGAAGGAACAAAGCATATCACAAAAATGTCAAACATTGTTACTGCATGAAAGATAACAATTTATAAAATAAACCCTGAACCGAGAGTAATCATTATTATGGTCATCAGCATCGGTTTGATTTTCTCTGGAACTGAGTGATTAGAGAAGTGTAGATCATCTCAAAAGCAACGAGTTGAGCTTCCTAGAAGGGGACCGTGGTAAATTAATCGCACAGTAAGAGCCAAGGCATTTGAATTATGACGACATGTGAAATGAACAATTAGGTAAAAGATCGGACTTCTTACATCCCGTCTAATGAATTATTTAGATACCATTTTGGGCAGCCACCTAGCAATTTTTGAAGAGCTAAGAAGGGATACACAAGTATGAAAAATTTTTAGTGAAGATTTACTTGCTTTTTCAATTGACCTTTGGACTCTTTTATGTTATTTCTTTGTCAAAACAAGAGCCCTAAACCTCTTGTTAACTGGAATACTGTTTTTTATTTCAAGTACGAGTTCCTTCTAAACCTGCTGAGATTTTCGGACTACAACTTCGCATCATCTAACGGTTAAAACCGCCGGAAAAAAAAAAAGGAAATTGTAGCTCCCTTTTTTAAATACCTTTAATCAAGAAAGGCTGAAAAACTAAATTCGAGCATACAAACAAGCGATCCTTAACCTTTACAAATTCACATATTCACTGAGGTAGAAAAAGCAGCGCGAAAGAAAAACTATTCATTTGCCATTGGACGGTCTCATGGTTAAGGTCAAAGCTATCTTTAAGGAAGCTTTTGGTAAAATCTTTATTAAAAAGACTATCTTTAATTTCTAAAATGTTCTGTAACATAAATGGAGAGGAATACACCGTGATGCGGAGATAAATGAATTAATTGAGTGGTGAAAACAAAAGTTAACGCAAAAGCGCGGTAACTCATTAACTTTTTTTGGTTTTCAGCGGGGTATAGATAGAGTCGGACCGCAGCCCGTGGCCTACCACAAGACCCACAGCAACGAAGATCTTCCTTTCAAAAGCCACCATTCCAACCTTACATTCATTTTGTCTCAAAAGGGACTCTTTGAAGTCCATAATCTTGCAAGGCCTTCGAAGATCTTTACGTGGACATGTCAACCTTGAAATGATCTTTATGCCTCAGGCAATTGGCCCTAGGGCTGTGAAGTGGGCTTAGGGCCCCAGACCTACCACTCAACAAAACCCAAACTCACCATGCAGGCTCCAACGTATCATGTGAAATATTTGAAGAAGGATGAATCTATTGAAAAAGATAATTGATAATGAGACCAATCTTTTCATGATCCCTGTCCGGCTTCGTCTTAAGTACGCTTTCACAGCTGAAGACATGAACATAGCTCGAAACAGCAAGTACAACATCACAAGGTTATCTGCCATCTTGGCCAGATGCTACGTTTAGGATTGGAACCGATCACATCAGCAAATTTCTTCGTCACCCTTTTCACTTGTCAACCTAAAACGGAGCGTTTTAAAAACGATGCGTTTTCAAAACGCTCCAATTTTAAAACTATTTTCGAAAGTCTCCGTTTTCATCAACGTTTTCGGGTGTTTTAGAGTGGATGACCGGCGAAAACGCATGAAAAAGTTTTGTGTTTTCAAACGAAAACGCAGAAGTTTGGTAGGAGCCTTAAAGAAAGGTGCAAGCGCCAAAACTGTTGTCGAATTTCCTTATTCTCTGAAAAAAACAACAGTTGGCCGTCTTATAAGGTGTTTTTTTTTTAAAACTCATCATGATTGTGACTCGCATTGCAGAAAGCATTCATGATTACTGTCCTCAGTTGGCATTGTCAAAAAGAGCCGGCACAAGTGTCGGGCTAAACTGCTCATGTCGATATGCAATGACCTATATATTGACCTCCTCTAGAGCGAAAACACAATCATTCCAAAATTATCGTTTTGTAGCTCAGCGGCTGGAGTACTATGAGCATACTTTTAAGTTTCTCATAACTGAGTTTTCTCTCTTGTTAGAAATTTCTGTTAATAAAAGAAGAATGTCATTGTCTTACAGATTCATAATGAACTCCGCGATCATTTTGCTGATTTGGACTGCTTTGGGCGTCTTCGCCATACCGACAGCCATCTCAGAAACTGGCCTTAAAGCGGGTGCGCATCTCATCTCTTTGCGTCATAGCGAACTATTTCATGCTCTCTAATAAACATCTTGTTCCCTTCTCGTGTTATGGAAATGGACTCAGACGTTTTAATGTTTCAGTCATCTCTCTCCTTAATTAAAATAGACATATATAAAGTAAGAGAGATGGTGAGTTTTGAGCTCGGTAAAAAAATAGAGAAAGATGTTTTTTTCGTCTTGTCACGAGCTTGGGGCGAAGAAAAAAATCTGAGTCCCTATGAGGAATCGAACCCCAGACCTTTGGATTCCGCGCGAGAAGTACAGAAAATACCCCCAGAGCAAGTGCTGGGATGACAAACACTCTGTCGTTTCTCTGTCAAGGTATTTCTATAATCAAACACAATATTAAACACGAAATAAAGGTTGCCATTACAAATTGAATATAGCCTCACTTTGATTGGGCCGGCGTTCTTTAAGGGCTTTTTCCACAGGTACATATCACAGACCCATTACTTCTATGAGAGTTCTCCATACTGCATTCTAACACAGTGTTGCTGATTAAAACCGATAACCACTAAAATTTTAAACAAATTCTAAATTCTCTTTTTTCGGTTATCTCAACTTCAGTTGGCCTTCTTTTAGAAGAAAATATTGCAGACCACGGTATTTCGCAGAAACAACCACACGGTTCTACGTACTTAATGTATAAATGCTTGAAGCGAATGGAACGTTTCAGTACTGCCCATGACACTCTTTAAGATATGCTTATTAATTTTCCACGAGAGAAAAGGGGGAAAGTGGAGTTGTCTCGTAGACCAGACACCAAGCGTATTGCGCCCTCAGAAGAAAGCGTACCGGACCTTAACAAAAGGCCCTTTTGTCACCAATTTTGGAAGATTTGACGAGTCCCTAGAAGTAATAACACCGAAATGCATCAATAGCTATCAGTCTTTGTAGGAGTTATCCATTAGATCAACTTTAATTGGTAAAAACTTAAACCAATGTGGTCGCGACTAAAAACCATCAATATAGGTCAATTATCTCTGACGTTATGATGATCTGTTCTTACCAACATGTCCTTTTTTTTTGTGTAGGACAAATAAACATTCCTTAAAGCGTTCGTCATAAGTTAGACATCAATAATGAAATGCTTATCGGTGGGTCGTCATCATCTTTGTCGTCGTAGCATCGTCTTCATCAATCATAATTATTGTCATCTCCGTCTTTATCGGTTTCTTTTTTCGTGTAATGAATTATCAGCACGGTGTAGTTCATGTAAAAAAAAAATGAATAGTGTCCCTGAATGGTGATCGGATAAATAGCCAGTGAAGTTCAACAGGTAAAACCACCCCCTGATGTCACATTATGGCAGTTGAAAATGGTCATAGTGTGTGGATTTAAAGGACATGGAAAATTGACCAATGGGTGTCAAGAGACTTAATTTTTTTTTTACCAGTTAAAAAATTAAACGTGGGAGAAAATAAACTTTTTCCATTATTTGAAGGCGTACACTCGCTACGAAAGAGTTGGTACGACTTCTTGTCTTTTCATTTGACTTTGCTTGCATTTTATTTTTATTTGATTTTTCGTATCATTTGGTTTGTTTTAACTCAATTATGTTCATCAAGAGTTTATTTACTTCATAGGTTCTCAGAACAAATCAGACGACAGAATAATCTCAAAAACTTTGCTTCGAGAATTTATTCATTTCCTTTCCAATTTACAAGAGGTAAGAAATATTAGTAAGTTTCATCTAGTTAACCTACAATTTCGTCTTATTTTTCCAAGCCTTCTAGAGTAAATAATTCGAGAGATGTTGGGGCGAAATGAGAGCGATGTCCAGCGTGACAAGGGAGAGGGGACATATGAGATAAGCTCAGGAACCTGTAACTGCCTTTGGGTTAGGTGTTATCTAAAATATGATCTTAGTGACATTTTCGGATCATATTTCCGAACCTTGTGCTTTGTGACAGTATCGCGTTGTTGTGTTGCGAATCGAACGTTTTTAATGCAGTCACTATCCTATCTTCAGTTCAAAATTACAAATTTATTCATTTGGAAAAAAACACCTGAGAGAAAACCGACTGAGCTGTCATGGGCCCGCCATTCAGTTCAATTCAATGTATCTAGAATGATTGAAAAAACTCGTCATCCATTCATCCAACTGTTCATCTACTCATCCATCCAACGTACATCGTAGACAACGGTGATTGTTATTTTGCATATTTCGGCCGCGAAGTGGAGTCGCAAAAAGCCAATATCAAACAAAGAAAGAAGCAATCTTCGATCTTTTGGCTAATCGGAAAAAAGATGCTCTAACAAATCTAGAAGAAAAAGAGCGAAACGAGAAAAGATGAAAAAAAATTACTGAAGCCTCAGATTTCGGCGACAAATTGATTTGCTTAAATATGATTGTTTCACATAAACCAAACCTAATTTTGCCGTTGGCTAATTCATACTATTGGGTTTACAGATTCACGATGGAATCTAAAGTCATTTTGTTGATGCTGACTGCTCTAGGAGGCGTATTCGCTTCACCAAATCTCATCGCAGAATCTGGCCACAAAGGCGGTAGGTATCTCATCACTTAAGATTAGAAGGTAGGGATGTACTCGGCGACTCACGAAAAGGTAACCGTTGCCCGTGGGCGGAGATAGGAAAATACGGACCGCGTATTGACCAATCAGATTGTAGGATTCGTTACCGTGCCCTCTGAGAAAAAATAAATGAAAATCTTATATATGAACTGCGGATAAAGACGTGAATATGAAAGCGATATTCGTAGTAATGAACACTACTCGAGCAGCAGTGAAAATAAGATCGCTTTAACATTTACGTATTTATCCGCAGTTCACATACGTGATTTTCATATATTCACAGTCATTTATTCATCACTTCACGGGTTTAATTGGAACCAACATAGTAACCAGCTCCCGGTTGGCTTGTTAGCTTAGTTGGTACAGCACTGCACCGGTGTCGTACAGGCCAGGGGGTCACATCTCGTACAGCCATGAATTTCTTTCAGGCCATATTTTCACTCCTGCTCAAGTTGTGTTCATTACTGCGGAGATCGCTTTCATATTTAAGACGTCCTATGTCAGCAAAAATTCAACGTTTTAACCTGTGAAACCAAGAGCAGACCAGCTGTGTTTCCTCTAGAGACACAAAGCATAATTACAACTATTCACCCATGAAAATAATGTTTTGAGAGTGAGATTATACTTACTAATTGCTTAGCAGATGAGGGAAGTGCGAACGCGACGAAGAAGGGTGTTATTTCCTTCGGACTGATGGTTCTTCGCGTTACTAAAAAAAATCCCCTTGATTTCAATGGTTATGGCTGCTGGTGTGGAATCGGTGGGGAAGGCAAACCCGTGGATGATTTGGACAGGTAATCTAACAAAGCTTTCTTTAGATCAGCATTACTGATTTTCCTAGTACCCTGCGTGATGATTACATTGAAAAGTTGAGGAGAGAGAAAAACATACTGTCTGCTCCATTTTGTCACCACAGGATTAAATCCAGAGGTGAAATTACTTCATTTAAATAGTTGGGTGGAATAGTCGACAAAACCCAAAGGAATGGAAATGGACCCTTGTAATCTATTAACCTATCATGCTCTATCATTTTAAAAGGAGTATACGCTCATAAAGTTGTCAGAAGATGATAATGAAGCATACTATCCTGTTAGACAAGAACTGTTACCCCCCCCCCCTCCCAAATGTAGACACCAAGAACAACATTAAAAAGATTAAAAAGTGGATAAATCTATTTTCAGGTGCTGCCAAGTTCACGACAAATGCTATGACGACATTATACGGTCGAAGGTTTGCCCTTTCGAGAAAGGAGTTTATGCTCTCCCCTACTCAACAAAACGGAATCACCCTGCCGAATGCGGTAAGTCAAAGAAAATGACTTACGTAATCCTGTGCATAAAGGTACAAACGTCTGTTATGTAGTTTAGCTGGTTTTATTGTGTGCGTGCTTTTGCTTTTTTATAGGTTAATGTTCAGTTGTACTCAGTTTTCGTTTTCCAGTTTCTTTTTTTTTTTCAGATAATTCGTTACCATATACCTGAACTTACGAGCACAGAAATTTCTTTAGCTGTGGCACATTAGGGGAACTTGAAACAGTTATTGGAATAGTTCCTCAGTTGTAAAAATTTTAACTAAATTCTCTCATTTTACTTCAGAACCTCCATCTCATTACTGGTTTTGGAAAAAGTGCCGCTTTCGCTTGTGCAAGTGCGATGCAGCTGCCGCTAAATGCTTTAAGAAGAGTCCCTATGACGAGAAGTATAGAAAATACCCACAGAACAAGTGTAGAAACGACAAGCCTTCTAAAAGTGACGAAGAAACAAAACAACTGTTTTCGCTTTGATTTTGTATTTGTTTGTTAGATGAATAAAAGAGCAAAGATCTCTTTTGGTATAGTCTGGCTTCGTAGAAACTGCCGCAGATACATGTCGCCTACCGATTATTTCTGTTGATTTGGTGATGTCGTTTCGGAAAAATAACCTTATACCTTTTCCATCAATGTGCTTTACCAAATCAACATAGAGTAACTGGCCCACAGAACACTGAACTATCTTAAATTTACTGCGTCAAACTCAAAGCCAAAGTTTCTGAAGAACTACTAACACCAGAAGTAAATATCAGTTTTATCTTCTTAGAAAATGATCCAGTGTGCATGATTGTGCGACCAAATCAATTTACCAGGTTCACTTCATTGCTAGAAATACACAAACCATTCACGTAAATAGTTTATTTACAATGTTTTCTTTTTCAACGTGTACGTGTCACATTTAAGTAAACATGTTCATCCCAGTAATTTTAATTATTACATCCATTTTGAAATCAATGGTGGTCCCTGTAATCTAATTGGCTCTATTTATTCACGAATAGCAGCATATTTTGCTCTAAATCGCATCTTTTGTCCAGCCAGTGATAAAGTTACACTTAAAGCAAAACAACCAATCAGATTTCAAGGCTTGTTTAAAAGTAACCAATAAAATTGCAGAAAAATGAAAGACAAAGAGTATCATGCAAATTTTGCAACTTTTGTTTCTATAACTCTTATTTCACCCCCCCCCCCCCCCCCCCCCCCCCCAAAATGGATGAATTTAATTACTTCCAGTTTTTGAATGATGACAATGAGATCCATCAGGTTGAAGACCAACATTCCAGGGATTTTCCCACTTTTCGTGTACATTTTGGTGAATATTTTGACCATTTTCTACCTTCTCAAGATCAAAATCTGCGCGATCCCGAGTCCACTGAGTCAGCAACAAACGAAGAAAATCAACAGCCACCTAAAGAGTTGGATGTTTCAAGATTTCCTATCATTTCAAGCGATGAAATGAATGAGCTTAAGTCTGTCGCTTCGAATAAAAATACGTGCCGCTCCACAAAACAATGGATGAATGTTTTAAGAAGCTGGTGTCAATGCCGCCATCTTGAATATGTCTCCATCGAAGCAAAGGCGCCTGAAGAACTTGACAAGGTCCTGAGTAAGTTTTATGCCGAAGTGAAAAAAAAGGACGGAGATGATTACGCGCCAGAATCTCTTAAAATCATGCTGAGTGCCATTGAACGGTATTTAAAGGAGAAGAACTATCCATTGAGCATTGTGCGATCGAGGGAGTTTCACTCCTCACAAGAAATCCTCAATGCGAAAGCAATTTCCCTGCGTCAACAAGGAAAGGGAAAGAGACCCAACAAAGCTCAGCCAATCGCACCTGAAGAAGGGTCAGCCCTGTGGGAAAAAGGTCAGTTGGGTGATTTTAATGGAAAGGTCTTGACCAATGTCAACTTCAAAAATTTGGCGGAACGACTGGGATTTCGTGGTCGCCAAGAACCCTATGACGCACACGTGGAAGACGTTATCATAAGGCAGCAACAAGATGGAACTAAAGTTGTTGAGTTCCGGGAAGGTCCCACCAAAAAACGGAGCTGTGGTCTCACCATCAGGCGAAGAACAACACCACAAGCAATATTCTGCACCGATGGCGGAAAAAGTGTTCCAGTGCGGCTATTCAAGCTTTGGTTGTCTAAACGACCCGAGGGAATGAAGAACACAGGGCCACTCTATCTGAGCATTATAAATCGTCGTAAATCAGCAGATGTTTGGTACACCAAAGTTCGAATGGGACAAAACACCATCGGCAATGTAATGAAATCCATGGCCTCCTGTCTCAGGACGAATAAGAGGCTGACGAACCACAGCATGAGGAAAACATTGGTGTCAAAACTGAGGAAGCCTGGTCAACCGCACAGTGTCATCTCTGAAATAACTGGCCATGCACGTGCCATCTTCGTTAGACGACTACGATGAAATAGACGAGAATCACAGGAAAGAACTCTCTTACATTATAAGTGGATATAAAGATGTGTCAAATGAAAATCAAGCAAACAAAATCTCCCGCCAAAACACTGCAAATGAAGCCTCAAATCAAGAGATTGCAGTCCAACATAAACGAACACCTCTAGTTCCTATTTAATACGTCCAACAACAAGGCCAAATGCATTAGGCCATGGGCTCCAATCCTGGTTTTCAGCCAGCTGAATTTTCAGGATTTTCACCACGTTTTCCATTGCAGTCTCAGTACTACATAGAAGCCTGAGTTGAGTGTTTCGGCAAGTTAGTAATAAAGAAAGTTGTCAAAGGAAAAAAATTACCAACGCACATCCCTTAATGGCTCTCCAACACTCTTATTTGATACTTCTCACTATCACAAGCGAATGACATGCATCTCCTCATTTCAATATCAGTACAATATCCAGTGACCCCAGTTTGATATCCTCTTTTGGTTGGTTGCATATTGGTTGCATATCACTTTTATATAAAGTTATCATGTAACAGTTCCTGGTTCAAAGTAATATATCCCGAAGAGAGAACCACATGGTAACATAGGTGATATTTCTACAATGATTAAGTTCGGGCTCTCATGACTAATAAGTTTCCAGCAACTTGCCCTTGAGCCTGAACCCCAAAATACCGCCCTGTTCACTTACATTTACCTTTGTTGGTTTGCTTGCTAGATCGTTACCAGCATTTATTTAAGTATGGTAGAATTTCTTAGTTAAAAGCAGATCTGAACCTTATTGGACACGAACACCGGCAGTGCCGTGTCCAACTATACATTAAGGAGGTTCCAAGGTACCATAATATCCGCAACCAACCAAAGCAGTGAAGATACAGGCTACGGGGTTACGATTTATCGTCCTTAAACGACAACACATCAATGTCTAACAATTTGCAAGTAAATTGCAAAGGCAGCACATTCTACTGCGCTTTTTTTTTACGACCTAAGTATTGTTAAGGTTGGAGGATCGAACCCTTAACCTCCCACATGGCTATACGACGCTCTGTCCATGCACTAAAATATTCCTAATGAAACCACACAAACAAAACATTTTTTCCAGTCTGAAATATTAAAATATTACGTTGCAGTGTCATTACGATATCTAAAATCCCTTTTCTGATGTCAATTGCTTTAGGAGTCGTTGCTTTGCCGAATGCCAAGGCATCTAAGGTTTGTATGTGATCACCTGATTTATGGGAAAATCTCTTTAACTTAACTCTATTCCCATCTCAAAGTTATTTTTAATCTGTGTTTTTTAAAAGATGAGGAAAGTGCAAATGCGATGATGATTTTGCGCGTTACTAAAAGAAATCCCATTGGTTATGGCTGCTGGTGTGGAATTGGTGGGAAAGGCAAACCCGTGGATGATTTGGACAGGTGATAATATACAGTTCTCTTTATATAAGCAACACTCATTGGTTTCAGTTTCTGGCGTTCGGCAAGTTGTTCTCGTTACTATGGTAAAGGGAAAAACGTTTACTCTTTAGGGCTGTGAAGTGGGCTTAGGGCCCCAGACCTGCCGCTAAACAAAACCTGCTAAGCTAGACTCATAATCAAATCCATCAAGCTTTACCGTATCATGTGAAGTATTTTTCAATAAGAGTTTGAAATGGGACGAATTTATTGAAAATGCTTCATTATGTGAACTACAACAACGCAGCCCCATTGCCGGTTTAAATTTGAATTCTACAAATTTACATTGAAAGTCAAAATTAGCGATTTTAGGCCCTGAACACATTCTTTCAATTTTAAAAGGCCTCGTACTCATATTTGACAGCATCTTCACTTGTCGGCCACACTACACGGCCGAAGATGATGAAACGAGTGGGACCTAAAATTGATAATAAGACCAATCTTTTCATGACCCCTGTCCGGCTTCGTCTTAAGTACGCTTTCACATTGTACAAGGCGATGTTAAGCTGAAGACATGAACAAATCGCGAAAACAGCAAGTACAACAACACAAGGTTATCTGCCATCTTGGACAAATGTTACGTTTAGGATTGGAGCCGATCCCATCTGTAAATTTCTTCGTCACCCTTTTCACTTGTCAGCCCTAAAACGGAGCGTTTTAAAAACGATGCGTTGTCAAAATGCTCCACTTTTAAAACTCTCCGTTTTCATCAACGCTTTCGGGTGTTTTAGAGTGGATGACCGGTGAAAACGCACGAAAAAGTTTGCGTTTTCAAACGAAAACGCGGAAGTTTGGTAGAGGCCTTAAAGAAAGGTGCGAGCGCAAGACCTGTATTGTCAAAAAGAGCCGGCACAAGTTTCAGAATATTTGTTGGGCTAAACTGCTGATGTCGCTATGCAATGACCTATACATTTACCTCCTCTAAAGCTAAAACACAGTCATTCCAAAATCATCGTTTTGTAGCTTGGCGCGCGCCTGGAGTATTATGAGTTCTTTTCGTTTCTTCCTAGCTTGTAATGCTTTTAAGTTTCTCATAAGTTTTCTCTCTTGTTAGAAATTTCTGTTTCTAAAAGAAGAATTAGGCTGATCCACATCATTGTCTTACAGATTCACAATGAACTCTGCGATCATTTTGCTGATTTCCTCACTTTGATTGGGCCGGCGTTCTTTGAGGGCTTTTGCCACAGGTACATATCACAGACCCATTACTTCCGTGAGGGTTCTTATACCACATTCTAACATAGTTTTACCAATTAAAACCAACAACCACTAAGCTTTTAACCAAATTCCAAAAACGCTCTTTTTCTGTTGGCCTTCTTTTGGAAGAAAATATTGCACACAACGGTATTTTAGCAGAAACAACTACGGTTCCATGCACTAAATATATTAATGCTTGAAGTGAATGAAACGTTTCAGTACTGCCCATGACACTCTTTAAGATATGCTTATTAATTTTCCACGAGAGAAAAAGGGGAAAGTGGAATTGTCTCGTAAACCACACACCAAGCGTATTGTGCCCCTAGAAGAAGGCGTGCCGGGCCCTAACAAAAAGCCTTTGTGTCACTAGTGTTAAAGCTTTGACGAGTCCCTAGAAGTAATAACACGGAAATGCATCATGAGCTACAGTCTTTGTAGGAGGTATCCATCAGATCAACTTCAATTTGTAAAAACTTAAACCTATGTGGTCGCGACTAAAAAGTATCAATATAGGTCAATTATCTCGGACGTTATGACGATCTGTTCCCTACCAACAAGACATGTCATTCTTTTTTGTGTAGGATAACAGAACGTTCCTTAAAGTGTTCGTCATAAATTTGACATCAATAATAAAATGCTTATCGGTGGCATGGGTCGTCATCATCTCTGTCGTCGTAATATCGTCTTCATCAGTCATAATTATTGTCCTCTCCGTCTTTATCGGTGTGAGGTTTCTCTTTTCACATAATGAATTATCAGCACGGTGTAGATCATCTCAAAAAATTGAATAGTGTCCCCGAATGGCGAACAGATAAATAGCCAATGAAGGTCAACAGGTAAAACCAACCCTTAATGTCACATTATGGCAGTTGAAAATAGTCATAGTGTGTGGATTTAGAGGACTTGGGAAATTGACCAATTGGTGTTAAGCGACTTTTTTTACTAGTTAATAAATTAAACGTGGGAACAAATAAACTTTTTCCATTATTTGAAGGCGTACACTCGCTACGAAAGAGTTGGTACGATTGCTTGTCTTTTCACTCGACTTTGATTGCATTATGATCTTATTTGATTTTTCTTTTTATTAGGTTTGTTTTAACTCAGTTATGTTCATCAAGAGCTTATTTATTTCATAGGTTCTCTGCGACACAGAACAAATCAGACGACAGAATAATCTAAAACACTTTACCTCGAGAATCTATACTTTTCCTTTCCAATTTTACAAGAGGTAAGAAATATTACTAAGTTTCAGCTAATTTACCTACAATTTCGTCTTACTATTCCAAGCCTTCTAGAGTAAATAATTCGAGAAATATTGGGGCGAAATGAAAGCGATGTCCGGCACGACAAGGAAGAGGGGACGTCTGAGGTAAGCTCAGAAAACTGAAGCTTTCCAAGAATCCGATGGTGTAATTGAAATCATTTTCATGTTTCACCGTACTGTAAAAAAGGTCTACCCAACCTGTAACTGCTGTCGGGCTAAGTATTATCTAAAATTAGATCTTAGTGATATTTTCGGATCATATTTCTGAACCCTATGCTTTGTAACAGTATCGCGTTGTTGTGTTGCGAATCGAACGTTTTTAAAGTCGTCACTATTCTGCCAATTTCACTGCGTCAAGTTCCAACTTTTCTTAGGCGTACGGAGAGGACGATCGTTTGACGCTATCGAACACCGCTAACGGAATAAATCATATTGGATTGTACGTTCGTTAATTAATATGTTGATATCAGTTCAACGACCCTCGAACCTTTGCGACGTCTAGAGTTTAGTTACACAACCGTGAACTCGAAGTCTGGGAATACCAAAGAATCAGATTAAGATTACAAATGAAATTAAAGTATTCCCGTCAAGCAGTTTTGGAATTTGCCAATTTGGCTACCAAGTGTAGATGTATAAATAATAAATGTATTCTGTGAGACCATTTCCTTCTCTCACAAATGTCTCTTGGTCAAAAATATCGCCTCGTTAAACACAGCAGGGATACACAGTAGGGATACACAGGTGCCAGCTTTCTTCAGGGAAGATAAGTTGCATGGTTATTTCTGTTAGCTTTTTCATTTTGCTTTCTCTTTTGTTCTCCGTTGAATTTTTATCTGCGAAATAGTTAAAAGCAAGTCGGTATTGAGGAATATCTTCATCAATTCCACGTTTTGTTTTGTGACACACAGAAATGACATTAACCGCAGCGCAAAGTAAGCTTTCTTTTCGAGCGATAAAAACAATGTTACAGGGACGCATGCAGTGACCGAGGAAAATGTCATTTTTAACACATTTTTGCTACAAGCACAGCCCTGGCCCACGGCCTTAGCTTTCAAGCGACCTAAGGTGCATTTACGGGCGAAAATGTTCAAATAAAGATCACTGTTTTTCTTTTTAGCGAAAGGGAAACGTTTAATATCATGTACATGTACTTCAATTCGGCTTCGATTTGTTGTCGGAGTTTACGATAAACATGGATTAGCCTGTATCTCTCAGAGGAATGGTATGGGTAATGGCGTAGGAAACATTTGTTGCCGAACGATGAAAATTTTCAAACCTCTACATTTGTAGCTTGGATTTCGAGATTGGAGAGAGTCAAAAGGGCAGTTACTGAATGATAGGTGCTAGTTTGATTCCTTATGAAATTCTCTAACATTTTGCCACTGTTTTCGTAGTTCCTTCCATTCTAAACAAAAACCAATCTTCAAGTTCAACTAACCGGAATCGGTGCGGAGATGCAGGTTTTTCCATTTTTGCCCGTGTACATATACATGGACTAAAACGTTCCCTCTCCAGCAAAATTGAATTATTGAATAATTCGAAGATTGCTTGGAACTAGAATGATTGAAAAAACTCGTTCTCCATTCATCCAACTGTTCATCCACTCGTCCATCCAATGTGCATCGTAGGCAACGGTGATTGTTATTTTGATATTTCGACCGCGAAGTGGAGTCGCGCAAAAAGCCAATATCAAACAAATAAAAAAACAATCTTCAATCTTCTAGTTAATCGGAAAAAAGACGTTTTGAGAAATCTAGAAAAAAAAAGAGCGAACGGGAAAGGGCGAAAAAAGATTGCTGAAGCCTCAGATTTCGGCGATAAATTGATTCGCTTAGATATGATTGTTTCATATAAACCAAACATAAGTGTTGCCGTCGACTAATCCATACTATTAGGTTTACAGATTCACGATGGAATCTAAGGTCATTTTCCTGATGCTGATTGCTCTGGGAGGTGCAATCGCCTCACCAAAATTCGTTTCAGAATCTGGCCACACAGGTAGGTATCTCATCAATCAAGATCAGATCTAAAGTTATCATGTTCTTTAGTTAATAAACTATAAGGTTACATAGCTTACGCCCAAATTTAGAGTTGCAGTCGTGATAGCCAGATACTGTTTTGGACACACTCAGTCATGCACCATGTCGGTAATCCGTCTGATTATTTTAGTTTCTTACTTAAGGAGGCTCCATAGGGTTTTTGCTCAATGACGGTAGGGATGTACTTGGCAACTCACGAAAGCGTTACCGTTGCCCGTGGGCAGAGATGGGAAAGTACGGACTGCGTAAAGAACCAATCAGATTGTAGGATTCGTTACCGTGCCCTTTGAGAAAAAATAAATGAAATTCTGATATGTGAAATGCGGATGAAGACGTGAATATGAAAGCGATATTCGCAGTAATGAACACTACTCGAGCAGTAGTGAAAATAAGATCGCTTTCACATTTACTTCTTTATCCGCAGTTCACATACTTGATTTTCATATAATCTCAGTCATTTATTCATCACTTCACGGGTTTATTTGGAACCAACATAGAAACCAGCGTCCAGTTGGCTTGTTAGCTCAGTTGGTAGAGCACTGCACCGGTATCGCAAAGGTCAGGGGTTCAAATCTTGTACAGGCCTGAATCTTTTTCGGGCCTTATTTTTACTACTGCTCAAGTAGTGTTCATTACCGCGCAGATCGCTTTCATGTTTAAGACGTCTTATGTAAAAAAAAAATTCAACGTTTTAGCCTGTGAAGCCAAGAGTAGACCAGCTGTCTTTCCTCTAGAGACACAAAGCATAATTGCAACTAATTACCCCTGAAAAAAATGTTTTGAAGAGTGAGATTATACTTGCTAATTGCTTAGCAGATGAGGGAAGCGCGAGCGCGAGCGCGACTAAGAAGGGTGTTATCACCTTCGGCCTGATGGTTTTTCGCGTTACTGGAGGAGATCCCACCCGTTTCAATGGTTATGGCTGCTGGTGTGGAATTGGTGGGGAAGGCAAACCCGTGGATGACTTGGACAGGTGATCTAACAAAGTTTTCTTTAGATCAGCTTTACTGATTTTCCTAGTACCCTGAGTGATGATTAAATTAAAAAGTTGAAGAGAGAGAAAAACATACTGATCGTTCCATTTTTTACACCACAGGATTACATCCAATTAATGTTCAAATTACTTCATTTAAATATTTCGGTGAAATAGTAGAAAAAACCGAAAAGGAATGGAAATGGACCCTTGGAATCTGTTAACCTATCATTCTCTACCATTTTAGAAGGAGTACATGCTTATAAAGTTGTCAGAAGATGATAATGAGCCATACTATCCTGCTAGCCAAGCGCTGATACCCCCTTTCCCCCCCCCCTCCCCCACCGATTAATAGATTCCAAGAACAACACTAAAAAGATCAAAAAGTGGATAAATCTTTTGTCAGGTGCTGCCAAGTTCACGACAAATGCTATGACGACATTGTACGGTCGAAGGTTTGCCCTTTCGAGAAAGCAGTTTATGCTCTCCCCTACTCAACAAAACCGAAACACCCTGCCGAATGCGGTAAGTCAAAGAAAATCCTGTGCATAAAGGTAAAAAAGTCTTTTTTATGTAGTTTAGCTGGGTTTTGTGTGTGTGCTTTTACTTTTTTATAGGTTAATGTTCAGTTGTACTCAGTTTTCGTTTTCTAGTTTCCTTTTTTAGAGATAATTCGTTACCATATACCTGAACTTACGAGCACATTTCAGAAATTTCGTTAGCTGTGGTACAATAGGGGAACTTGAAACAGTTATTGGCATGGGTCCTCTGTTGTAAAATTTCTGGAAGAAGTTCTCTAAAAATAGTAGACAACAGTATTTTAACATAAATTCATTTTACTTCAGAACCTGCATCTCATTACTGGTTGAATGGAGAATGCCGCTTTCGCTTGTGCGAGTGCGATGCAGCTGCCGCTAAATGCTTTAAGAAGAATCACTTTAACAAGAAGTATAAAAATTACCCACAGGACAAATGCAAGAATGACAAGCCTTCTAAAAGTGATGAAGAAACAACACAACCGTTGTTTTTTATTTGAGTTTGTAATTGTTTGTTAGATGAATAAAAGAGCAAAGATCTCTTTTGGTATAGTCTGGCTTCGTAGCAACTGCCGCAGGTACATGTCACCCACCGATTATTTCTGTTGATTTGGTGATGTCGTTTCGAAAAAATAACTCAACCGTATATTATTTTGAACCTTTTCTATCAACGTGCTTAACAATTCAACAAGTAGTATCTAGCCTACAGAACATTGAACTATATTAAACCCCGGTTTACTGCGTCAAACTAAAAGCCCAAGTTTCTGAAGAACTACTAACACCAGAAACGATCTTATCAGAAAATGATCCATTGTGCATGATCGTGCGACTGGATCGATTTGCCAGTTTCACTTAATTGCCCGAAATACACAAACCACTCACGTTAATAGTTTATTTATAATGTTTTCTTTTTCAATGTGTAGGTGTCATATTTAAGTAAACATGTTCGTTGGTGAATAGACTCCATGTACACTTCGGGTTTTATAACTTTTAGTAATTGGTGTAATTTAATAACTATAGAAAAATCGACGATTTTCACTTCACAGAGTAATTCACTTGCATTAATCACAACACGCACATTTCCTACAGCTCTTCCTCCACAAGAAAGCAGGCATGCAGCACGCAAAAAATAATGTCATAACCCCTCCCAACCAAGCCTTATCTAATTGCCGTTCAGACCTTCGTCGAAAACTAAAGAAATTCCCATGTATCTTCTGAAACCACCTCCTAAATGACTTTACATAACCTCCAACAGGTAACTGCTACATCCAGGGAATTTTTTACAATTAAAAAAGTTGATTGTTCGGCAAGTTAGTAATAATTGGTGCGAGTTTAAAATCTCAACGGGCATCGATTCCAAAATAAATCCTAAAAACGAAATAATGTGGAATAACAGAAAAATTCTTATAGGAAAAAAACCTGTCTTTTACCAAACTTGGTATGACGCCGGTATTACTAAGATAAGCGACATTTTAAACCAAAATCAGAAATTTTTGAAGTGGCATGAATTTGTCACAAAATTTTAATTTAAATGTGCCTTTCACCACATACTATGGCTTGGTCAACGCAATCCCAAAAGACTGAAAAGCTATTCTTACAAACCCTATTCCAAACGTCACACACGCGAACACTACTGTAAACAGCCTAAGAACCAGTTCTATTTACTCTTCTCTTTTAAACACCGTCTTTGTTCCTCCCACTGCCGAAACCAAAATTCTACGCCACGGATTTACAAAAACTACCATCAAGAACGTTTATCTTATGCCATTTAAAGTAACAAACGAAGTTAAAATAATAATGTTTCAGTATAAAGTGATTCATAACGTGCTTCCAACTCGCGCCACTCTTTACCGAGACGGCATTTCAGAGAGCCCCTTATGCAACCTATGCAATACAGAAAAACAAACGTTGCATCACCTATTAATAAACTGCACACTAATACTCGACTTCTGGATTCTGTTTCAAGACTGGTGGCACCAAAAAACAAATGAAACAATAACGTTATCCACAAGTCATATACTCTATGGCTGGCATTATAGGACAAAACATTGGCAAGTCCTAAATTATTGCCTATTGTTAGCCAAATATCACATTTTCTGCACAAGCCTTTGCGGAGACATCTTAGATTTTCAAATCTTCCTACTGTTCATCACGGGAAAACTTGAAATCCTAAAAGAGATCGCGACCGCAAAAAATGAACTTCCGAAATTTTATCGCACGTGAGCTTTTTTACTTTAATTTTTCATACTGCTGTTTTTTGGGTTAGACTTATACTTAACTTCATTTTTGAGACCTGCATGTTTACTTGTGATTGTCTTTTAATTGAAAAGAACTTTGTAAACACGCCAACCGTAAATTAAATTAATGTTTGCTTTGAAAGCCACGAATCTTGCTAAGGAACACAATCTCAACATTCGAGGCACAGAGGGAATTCATCCGTGTGAATCTGTTCGCAGTCCCAGTCAAAACAGTACTACCTTGTTTATGTTTCAGTCCATCACCACGGGCGAGTTTGCCGTCTAACAAAGCTCTCGGTTGCGATGAAGTAAATGCCAAAATTCTGAAAGATAGCTCACCTCTTATTGCTCCCATCATAACTAGTCTTATTACCAATTCCTTTTCTTTGAGCAATTTTCCACTTCCCAGGAAGTAAGTAGAAATCGTTCCATTTCTTAGATCAGGGGACAGTGAGGAGCCCGCGAACACAAGACCAATTTCACTTATGCCTATTCTCTCTAAAGTATGCGAAAGGGCAGCTCACTCACAGCTCGTTAGTCGACTCAAGCAATATCATACATCAAATGCAAAGTGGAAACAGAAAATTTTATTCGACCGAATCTGCGCTGCTTCACCTCACTGACGAATTGCTAAATAACATGGATCAAAGAACGATGTCTGTTACCGTTCTCTTGGACATGTCTAAAACTTTTGACAGCATTCGACATGACTTGATGTTGTGCAAAATTCGCAAAGCTGGTGTATCGGAACCTGCGTGTGCCTGGTTTTAAGGCTATTTGTCACAACGTGAACAAGTTGTTAAGATTCAGGATACCTTGTCCACTACCTCAAACGGTTGGAGTACCGAAAGGTCTATTTTGGGTCCATTGCTGTTTACATTATACGTAAATGACCTCTTTCGAGTTCCAAAACACTGCAAACCTCTCGGCTATGTAGATGACACAAAACTCTTTATCGGGTTCCCGTCCAGCAAACCGTCTTCACGATGTTATCCCTGTCCCGGCCTCGTCTTAAGTTCGCTTTCACATTGTGCAAGGCGATGTTAAGCTGAAGACAAGAATAGAGCTCGAAAACAGCAAGTACAACATCGCAAGGTTATCCGCCGGTCTAGAGACTGTTTTTTTTCCCCTTTTTTAGATTTCCTACTTGAGTCAAATGCGATTTTAAATAAACAAATCGGACTCCCACTGCGCGGTCGTCCGATTTTGTTATCACTCGTATGATTACAGACCGAATTGGACTCCACTCAGTCTTATTACCATTATTTATCTCATAGCCGATGTCCCATGAGCCATACTAGTTTAAATTGGCCATTTGATAAAAAACAAAACAAAACAAAAAAACATCTAAACTGCAACTACTCTGAAGACAACTCAAATTTCCATGTAAGGCTTTTGTCATTTATTCTGTTACAGATATATTGTTATCTCAATTAATGTAAACGTTGTATTATTCCTCTTCTATTTATCTACTTTAACTCAGATCTACTTCCAGAGAATTACGAACAATCATGTGTCCCAAAGACACCTTATTGCTCCTGTGATGTTCTTGGAAGGTCTACTCTCAGCGTTACTGAATGGTATGATATATATTTAAATGCAGTTAAGAGGAGCGATGGTAAGCTTAAAATAAAGTAATTTTCTTCCTACCCGATAGCTCGGTCGGTGGTCAAAACAACCACGAGAAGATTTGACTCTGAATTAAAAAAAAAAAAATTCGAGATCGGGCATAGGTACACATAAAAATTTATTCAACAAGGTAGACTTTGGACGATGAATACAGGAAGTTTATTTGTCACAAAGCACTCAGCATTAATTATAGAACTATAGTGTCACTCAAACCCTTTTAAGAGGGTAATGCTCTTTCTCTCTCTCCGGAGTCAGTAAAAGATCCCGGTTCTTTTTTCTCTCCTCCGTTTAGACCTTGTTTTTTAGTTAGAATTCTCTGGGTTTTGTTCACCAAGTGAATAAACAGCAAGCAAACGTAGATTATGTTTACCTTTCATTTCAAACAGTTTAAATCAGACAAACCTGTTTAGCTGCTCATGTTACTAAATAAAATTGCATAAAAGTTTAATTCAACCTCAAGAATCTCGATTTTAGTTCTATCTTTTCCAAAAATAGAAAAAGTGAAAAAAGGAACCGGGTAAGATGATCGCTTTTGTTCTGTTGATATGCAGCTAAAAGGAGTCGTTGGAAACGACACAGCCATGTTTTGTGTACAAAACCGACTAAATCTTCTCGTTATTTTTTTATTTTCCCGCCCCATTTATTTTAGGGTTCTACGCAAATGTATTCTTATAGCACTTAGTAAAGAAACTTAACTTCAACAAAAAGCCAATTTGAGGCAAATCCAATACGGTTACTCATAGGAAAATTTATTCAAAAAATGACTTTTATATTAATTCATTGTTCACAAACTTGTTTTGACGAAAAGCGCACTTCATAAACAAAAAAAATTTAGTGATCTCGCATTTCGGCATGTTTTAAGTAATGAAACGACCGCCGTCTTTGCAACCATATGAATGTCATGTTGAATAACTCTTTACTCTTTTTCTATACAACACGATATTTACACGGAACCTAAAACCATTCTGTTTTGTCAGCGCTCTACCGATATCTTTTGTTAGGAGGCACAATTAAACAAAGATGCAAACTTAATTGAATTGAAGCGGACATATTTTTAATGTCTCAAAATATTGGAGTCACGAACACACTCACCGAAAAATTATTCATTAGTCACCAATATTTTGTACATCTTTAAGGTCCTTGAGCATCTGAGATAGAAACTCTGTGACTATACTTGTTAAACGCATGAAAACTTTGAATAGTAAAATGGTGATATCAGAAAAACTCCCTGATTTTATTTCATTGATAAAAATAAGTTCTCCTCCGTTAGAAAATAAAAGTTGTAATTCACATCAATTTATAAGGTAGCTAAGCAAGTTATATAACACATTGCATTTTTTATCATAATACGAACCACTTTGGACAAGAAAACACAATGTCAAAAAGAAAATAAAAATTTTATAGTTAATCGTGAACGTTGATAAAGGAAAGGAATTAAACGAGTTGCCGTGTTTGATTCATATAAGGGTTTTTTTAAATGCACGAGATCGGAGTAGTTAAAAGTAAGAGAATGGAGCCAGTTGTAAAAAAAAAATTGCTCATCATAAAGACTTTTGAAATTCTGTTTCTCAAGGTAAAATATTGATGAACGTGTTTAACGTAAGGCAATCCAATTATATAATCCTCGTTATATTTAGGAGCTTTAGAAATACAGAAAAGG